AGTACTTCTAGTTTTCACCTATGTAATTTGTGAGCTCAGATCGACCACTTCTCGATTCTCTGCCAAGTAAAGGCCTGAAGTGGAAAGGCCTTTACAAAAGCCTGAACTTGGCAGTCGCAGCGCTGCGCTTCAGAAAGGATTGCTGATTTTCCTCCTTGTAGAAAGCAGCAACAGTGTGCTCCTTACCACTTTGAAGGCGGATAGTGTTCATTCCCATCTATTCCCTTGGTTCAGAGGTGTGAAGGATCCTAAAAATACACAGTGAGTGGAAGAGAGTTGTTGTCTGAACAAAAAGCCCTCGTCAATATCTCCATTTTTGATTAGTTTTGGTGTCTTTAGTAATGTAGAAAAAAACTGGAGCATGGTTGTGGTCCTAGGTTTTATAGTGCTAATTTAGACGTTGCTTACCTCTGACTGAATCATCACCAGTCCTCCTTTAGGTTTTATAGGGGATTATACTGGCTTGAGGATGGGAATAAACAGAAACGCAGTGACACATTTCCATGGTCAGGCCTTCCCGTCCCAGCGGGGAGAGACTGAAACCTGGTTTCACGCAGTCATGGGTCTGTGTGACGTCACCGCTAGAGAAGGGTGAGTCAGCATCCACCCTTTAAAAATGAAAAACGGATGTGGTCAGAGGACATATTTTGGTTTCATTTGTTTATCGAATAAAAAAAATGCTAAAAGTTTGAATTGTTCAAATGGGTGTTTTTGTTTTCGCGGCGATAGTTTGGTGTAATCAAATCTGCCTCACGAATGCCAAAAAAAAAAAAAATCAATCCTTGAGGATGAATTCTTCATTTTGGAGATTGTTGTTTCATTTTAGGGCTGAACGATATAAGCCGTTCATGTGAGTCATTACCGATAATTGATTTGTTTTTTGTTTTTAAATATCTGAAGTTCTGCCAAACTGGTTGCGTGACCTTTCTTCTCTCATCCACAGTTTTCATTACGCCATCATTTAACTTTAAGCAGTTTTGAGGAACAGTGGTGAAACCTGAAACTGCTGCTGTGGTAGTTACTCAACAGTTTGTTGCTAGGTAACCAAAGAATGAGTGGGTTGCTAGGTAACCAAGAGTGAGTGAGTCAGTTGATTCCACCAACTTTTGATCATGTGTCTATTTCATCAAACAATATTTAGCAGTGAATAACATTAACAGTTCAAATAAACAGTTTGTTTTCATTTCTAATTGAATCAATAATTCACTCTATAATCAGTCCAATCGCTAATGACTGAAAAAATCACAACATCAAGATAACACTTGAAAGCCATGAGAAATATTCAGGATTTAAGACGATTGAAGACTTCTGGCCTCTGGACTTTACAGAAAAGGCTTGTGACCTAATTTTAAATCTGAACAGGTTCCCGGAAATGCAAAGAGAAATTACTAACCACCTTGACGACATTCTTCTAGGAGAACGTCTACGTACCTTCAGGCCTAATGTTATACTGTCTCCAAGTTCAGAACGAGTCGCTACTCTTTAATCACTCTACTATTAGGTTGTTTTGTGTGTGTTTTTGTTCAACTAAGTCATAATTTTGGTCAGTAGATGTTGGATTGGTAGACTATATTTAAATTTTGCATTATTTAGGTCATGTTTGTAGTTTTTATTTCATAGTAAGCCAGTTTAAGCTAAATGTTAGCAGGTTTTCATGTCACTCTGCACCATTTGAATGTTCACAGCTAAAAGATTAATATCTCATTACTTTCATACAAATATCAGGAAAGAAGGATGTGATAATTTTAGGTTTGTTCATGCATGAATTCATAATTTCAATGGTTTCTCCACAGAAACTGAGACTGAGTTCCCGTCTGACGCTGCCCTTATAGCCTCTTTAGTCTGCCAGTTGCAAAACTCTTCCTGGAAGAGAAACAAAGTCACAGTTCCTGAAACTGCAATGACAGAACTGGAAAATATAGATGTAGAAAACGAATAAACATTTATGAGACTTCACTAAATGGTTATCAAATATGACCTTATTTATAGTTTTTTTCCTATAATTATATTGTTTCTTAAGGGCAAGATGGATTACAGAGTGTTTTGGTCTCAGACAAAATGCTTACTGTAACTATTTGAATGGCTTAAAGTTACGAGTTTATCTTAACTAGAGGTCACCAACCTTTTCCATTCAATGAGCCACCTTTGACCCCTTCTGCTGCAAAATGAAACTTGCCTACAGCCACAAAAAATACTTTGTGTTTTTTCATGAAAGCTAAAAAAAAACTCAAATCAATTTCTGTTTTTAGGTTTTTAGAACAAAATGAATGCTCTTTTAAAAACGAAGAAAAAAAAGTTTTGTAGAATCAGGTGAAATGAAGATAGGAAGCCAAGTTTGATGCTTTTATAACTTTTATAAGCCAGTGTAGATATTAGATGCAGACTTTGTAAAAAGAAAAATATGGGAAAAACTCCTAAAATGACATGTTTTTTTCTTGCATGTATAATCAGAAGAGAAGAGCCGATGGAGGGGATCAATTAAATATGTTTACATTTAATTGGGCCACATGTGGCTCTGGTTAATAAAAGTATCTGGATTGGTTTCGCTGGTTAAACTGTACAAATGCACAGTTGTAAAAAAGCAATTTCTGTAAAAATGTTCAAAGATCCATTTTACTTCTATTTTAAAACCCAACATTTTCAGTCAATCAATTTTATTGTATTGATTTCTTAGACCTATGCGTAATGATCCTTTTTACACTCTTAAATATGGAGAAATAATGTTCAGCTTCAGATCTTTGGTTCTTTATTTTTTGCCGTATTGCCCTGGGAGAACACCGTCTGCATTACAGAAGCATAAACTTTCCTCCATGGATGCTACCAGCAGCTTGTCTAGTGTCTGCATTGATAAATTGCGCTCAGCATCAGCAGCAGTCTCTCTCTGCCACTTGAGCGCTCTGTCCATTAGCCAAATTCCTTCTATTTCATTATCTAAGTGGGCGGGTTGCTGCCTCCCCCCAAACCGCAGGCTGGATTTCCCGTATCCTCCTGTCTGCCTGAAGAGGACTCAATCAGCTCTGCCTAAACTTTAAATTATTTAATACCGGAAAAAATAAAATAAAAAAATGGTTGCAAGAATAGAAATGTGCCCGACTGCCCCTGTGTGAACCGTAGTTTTTGAGTCATGGGTCATAGTAAATGTCAGGGCGTGTAGCCATTCTTGCGCTCTGTAATGGCAGCCAGGCTCAGATTTCTGCGCTGCTGTTGTTCCTGTCGCATTCAGGCCTGCAGGCCGGCGCATTGATTTCTGAAACCGCAGCTCTGAAGGCCGTCGGCTCGGGACCATAATGGGCTTCTTAGCAAGGCTTATGATTTGGTGGGTTCACATCGGCTTTGCTTTCACTTAAAATATTTTATTTGTTACCATGACGATGCAATCTGAGCTGCAGGAATAGACTAGCTGGTGGTTCACGTGCTGGGTGTGCTGAAATATCTAAGTTTGCTTTGATTCTGCTCTTGAGCCGTCGAAGTAATTCGTCTTAAATTGCTTAAGCAGCTGAAGCTGAGTAAGGGATTTTTTTTTTATTTTTTTTTTGGTGTGGTACTTCCTTCAGTAGGATTTTATTACTCAATTCGGTACATTTGGATATTTCCTGTCAAAACCACTACTGATTAATCATCAACAGTGGCTTCAACAGGAAATATCCAGCAGGAAACTTGTTATTTAAATCAATTTAAATAATCAGGAAATATCCAGCAGGAAACTAGTTATATCCATTTAATCTACAGTTCACCGATTGCTGTTTTCAGGCCGATCGCCGATCTTTAAAAAGCCCGACCTGCTGACTCGGCATTCGTCTTTCACAGCAAAGCAAAAGGGGACAGCAGCTGATTTTCAGACGTTTGCAGACGTAGAGAACGTCGGTTTCACATGTCAGCTGATCATCGATCAACCAAAATCAGCAATAAAGGCCGATCAATTTATGATTTATGATACTTTGACTTTTAAAGTTTATTAAATGTATAAAAACTAAAAACTCAATCCACAGAATAGACTCTTATGTGTTTGTTTTTGTTTTTGGTTCAATAAAATGTCTGATAAATATTTAAGACAAATGCTGTGATGCGTAAGTGGAGCTCATCTTGAAGAATCTTAATATTCTTCATTTTCTGTTGGATTCTGAACTTGCTTTCAAGCAAGCTGCACCACTTTCTTCACTTTTATGTTGTTGTCCTTAGAAGAAAAAAAATTTATAATTTAAGATTAAGACTTGAATTCAGACTCCAAAGAAAACTGGTGGATGTTATCATCCAGGAAAAGCCTGAGCGGTTGTTGATCCTGAGGGTCTCTGCTGTGTTATGGATCTGGAAAAATAAACTTTCACTAATGAATAATTATTACAGGCAGTAAATAAAACAACTGCTTACAGTATAAAAACATTTAATATTAATTGCTGCCATTTGACTTCCACACAGTTTAACATCTGTTCATAATTCAGTTTAATTTTGAGTTGTACTTCTAAGACCAAATAAAGTCTGCATTCTTTTTAAGTCACTTTTTCCCCCTTACTATTACATGGTTTATTCTCCACAATATTGCTGTTTTTATTTATTTTTAACATTTTTCCATTCTGACTCCTGTGTGAACACAGTTTGGCTCATTTCTGTTTTTCTGTCTTGATTTTATAGAATGGTCTGGATTTTTTTTTTTTAAGACCATAACTGGAATTAAAATATTTGTTTCAAGGCTTAAGAAGATGAACCAGAATTGTACCAATTTTTAAATATTGTATTTGTTTTGATTCAGTAGTTTTAAATCTTCTTTTCCTCATTTTATTGTTTTTACCGTTTCATCTTTGTCTCTTGTTATCAAACACACAATAAAATATATGCAAATAGGTTGTGTCAAATCTGAGATATTTACTCTTGTTTTGTAACACACATTCCCATGGTGCTTCTTTCATAATCTTGATTCCTTTTAGCAATATTTCCTATATTGTCTTGCAGTAAATAAAAGTTAACTTTCTTTACCATTTCTCTATTTTCAGCAGTTTGACAGCATGGATCCTCAGGTAGGGGGCGAGCCGCCTCCATACGGAGGACAAGGAGACAGTCGTCTGAAGAGCAAGAAGCCTCCCAGCCTTACGATAGCCATTCCTCCGCCGAGCTACACCATGTCCGCTGATTCTGCCAGACAGGTAGGCAGAAGCATTAATCCATCATTAAACGCTCTCTCCAGTCTCTAATGTTTAATGTTTGAGACTCACCATATTGAAGGCAGAGGACATTCTGTTGCTTAGTTGGGTTAATCCAGTGGTTTCAGAAATCTCACCAGTTTATACAAGACCACAAATTCAACCTGCACCATGTGTTTAAATTATGGGAGAAGCTGAGAATATCAAGAGAAACCAATACATGCTGGCTCAAGGTTCTGCAACCTTTTCCTGCTCAGCTAAATAAAACTCGTTTAGAGCCACAAGTGGTTCATAACCTTTTAAAAAATGATATCTACTATAGGAAGTCTGTTTTTAAAGAACAATTTTATTTCAGTTTTAAGTAAGGCTGGACAATATGGCTGAAAAAAAAATTGCTACATAAATGTTTCATATCAGTCAATATTGATAATTATAGATTTATTTTGTTATTTGTTTTAAATATCTGAAATGCTGTAAAACTGGTGGTGTGATATTTCCTCTTTATTCCACAATTTTCACTCCATACTGTTCTTTTATTTCCCAAGCAGTCATGAGGCACCTTGTTGCTAGGCAACCAAAGAATGACTAAGTTGCTAGGTAACCAAAGAGTGAGTGAGTTGCTAGGTAACCGAAGAGTGAGTGAGTTAGTTGATTCCACCAACTTTATTTAGCTAGCCTTGAGAGGTTGAGCGGCTAAAGTCTTTCCTCTGCCTACATCCCCCAGAATGCTTTGTGGTTCTGGATCTGAGTATATATTCAATATTGAATATTCTATCAAACATATTTTCTATCGATATTGATCACATCCATCACGGTAGATATTGTTATTGATTTGTTCTTAAGCCATAAAATAAAGAAAAACATAAAACTCTCAAAAAGAGGATCGATACATTTTCTTCCAAGGGATGTTGATATTTGTGAGGAAAAATCCACATTATTTTCAAAATGAGAAAAAATAAATAAATATTGGCACTTTTGTTGTCATTCTGTTGTGAAATTTTAATAAGATTATTCAAGGATAAAGCTGGAAAAACTGCCAAGCTGCATTTGTTGTTATTGCTATTTTTTTAAAGCATTAGTTGGTTGTTTTAAATTTTTAGTCAAAAATCCAAAGAGCCATTTGTGGCTCGGATCTGCTGGATCAACACAGAAAGGCCTGTACAGCAGAACCAAAGACTTGGGTTTTTACAATTTAAAAAAAGGAACAAAATGAGCTTTCTGAAGCTAAATAATTAGTTTAATTATCAATGAATTAGGTAAATATTAATTCTGAGCAAACCAGAGGGACAAATCTGATTTTGGGAAATAAAGCTCTTCCTACACTCTGCAGCAAAACCTTAACCTTTTTATTTTGGTCCAAAATAAAAAAAAAAAAACTTTACAAGTACGAAATGTTCCCCAGTCAGGTAATCATCCAATCAATCATTTATCAAACATGAACTGAAGCACAGTCGGTACCAAATGTCCAGTGGCTCCGGACGAAAGAAACAAAACGATGTCGCTATTTTTACCTGCGCAAAAGTCTCATTGGATGCCAGCTTGGGAGCCTGCTGGTTCAGCAGACCAGAAAGAAGGTTTAAAACTTAATCCAGTCACATTTTATGCTTCTTCAACCCTCATGTGTGTTGTGCTCGGCCAGAGTGACATATTTTAAAGCCGTCTGGCAGTTAATGAGCCCAAAACGGTTCGTTTTCCCCCCTGGGCTCCACACACACACACCGAGCAGGCAGTGGATCAGGGTTCAGTCGAGGAAGCTGCAGTTTAACTACTTCCTAAAGTAGAGCAATTAAGATGTAAATGTAGTGTGAACTCATGCATGAGCCTCAAACTGTTACACATCCACCCACTCCACCCTCAACTCCCACCAGCTTGTCGATTGCAAACGATTCACTGCGTAGCATCTATTGTGGTTCGTTTTCAAAAAGCTGATTGGATTATATAAGCCTCTGTGTGGACAGGACACAGGAAAATTATTTACAACTCTGAACACCCTCTTCTTGACACTGTCTTGGGAAACGGAGTATCTTCAGTCAGAGGCGTCTTCAGAGTCACTGTACTGCAGACTGCTACAGGAGATCTTTCCTGCCATCAGGATCTGCAGTAACTCTGAAGAATTACAGCATTTAATTTCTCCTTGGGATTAATAAAGTACTTTTGAATTTTTAGAAGATTTAACTTCACCCTGTTACTGTATGTTCGGTCGATTCATGTGTTCATTCTTCTTTGTGTTTCAATATCATAGAAAGGAATGATGCCCAACGTTTAATCTTTTTACTTTTATATTTTAGCTTAATTTTACTTAATAATAACATGGTGAAATATATCATCTGCTTTTGCAAAAATTACAATTCTCAATTTGTTTTACTGTCTGATGCGTTAAACTTTTGTTAATTTCCCTTGACTCAACTCAGCTTCATGTGAATTTTTAGGAAGGAAACATTCAACCTGTGATGGCCTTTCATTGCCTCATTTCTGCTTTGTTTTGCTCAGCCTCTCAGACCGTCGCTGAAAAAGAGCTTGAGCAACCGGGGTCCTGGTTCGACGTCAGACAGCTTCGCTGGAGGCGACGATGGCGACTTCTCAGCCAGAGACAGAAGGTCGAAGTTTGGAAGACAAACGTCCCTTTCACAAAGCATCCGAAAGTAAGCTGCTGCTGCTGCTGGTGGTTTTAAATGCTTAAAAAGCTGGGTGTTGTGTGACGCTTAATGTTTTTACAAAATATTGCAGAAACAAAACGCAGCCGTTATTGACGTCACTAAATAATTTGAGGTGCCATGACGGACGTTGGGGGTGTTGAACAGAACAACTGAAAATGTTTTCCCAAGTTGTTTTTGCCAGTTTATTCATGGCTTCTTCTACTTTCAGTCGAGCTAATTTGTCTGTGAATGTAACACCTGGTTAGGGCTCATAGACGGCGGTATTTCGAAACAGCTAGCTTAGAAACCGACCCGTACCTCCTCCCTCCTGATGTGTTGATCAAATTACCGACTTTATCTGAATTCACACCACATGATTTATATCACTATGTCATAAACAGCGTTTTCCCTTACACCGGAGCAGCATTAAAAACATACAAAAGACGAGATGCTAACCAGTTTTTTTCCATACATGCTAGGCTAGGTGCTGCACTGTCTCCATGGTTACAATCCCGCACCAGACATTAGATGTGTACCTTCTCCATATTGCAATATTTGATAACTTTCTAATCATGTTTACTTATAAAGTATATGAAAGTTAATTTTCTTACCGTGTAAAAAGCTTTCACTGCCAGTCATTATGATTAACGGCTGCTATCATCGCCGCTGTATCTTTCCTCATTAGACGTTATAAAATAAAATAACAGGTTTGGTTTCTATTCTTCTCTGTTTGTCCAGCCGACTGCACAGCACCCTGTGACCATTTTAAAGGTGAAATCAACTAAATGGAAGCGACATTAGGTTACAGATGTCTGTTTTTAGACTAGCTTTAAAGGAGCGCATATGTTGTTTTGAAGTCCGTCATGACGGAGTGGGCGGAGTCTGGAGAGCGTGAGCAAAGGGTCAATATTTTAAACATTGCTTAATCCACTGTAACGTCTTGGAATATTGTAAGGTTTTAAAATGTCAAGCAGGCATGTGGCATTATTGAGTGTTCACTGAGTGCCTGTATTTATTGCACCTGTGACCTCTCCTGTGACCTTCAGAAATGCGGCCGAGTGGTTCGGCGTTGGTGAAGACTGTGAGACGAAGCAACAGCTGTGGCACAGGAAGAGCCTGCGCCACTGCAGCCAGCGCTACGGCAAGCTAAAGGCCCAATATCGAGAACCAGAGACAGCGTCCACCTTGGACCAGAACCCAGACTCACCAGCCACCAGCAAGCTGCGGAAGGTAGGCTACTGTCGTCGCTGTGTGACTCGGCGTAACCTCGATTCAACACGTTCTGAAGCGGAGTGCCAGCATTCACAAAAACTCAAATTAGAGTTTACACCAAAGACTCCCTTCTCTATAGGGATGAAACATTTAATCTGATTAATAATAGTGAATCTATTATTGAAATAATTAACCAATTAATTGCAAAAAATCATATTTAAGCAGTAATTTTGTGAAAAATCACATTTTGCATTTAAAATAAAGGAACAAACCTTCTTATTCTGCATATGTTCTACCCAAAACTCCTCAAACTAAAAAGTCAAATTTCATAAAAGAAATCTCTTATTGAGCACCTTTTGCTTTCCAATAATAATTTGATAATTCAAAACAATAATCAGCAGATTAGCCCAACAATGTTTTGATTTTAAACAGAAGTAATTGATTTTAGAAGTATTTTTATTACTTTTGCTATAAATGATCAAATATTCACTTGAGGAATAAGTTAATAAAATGCTTATTTTCTTATTTAAAAGAGGAAATTAATAATTTATTTATATTTTTTAACTGCATTTTTAATATTGTATAAAAGTAGCTTAAGTGATTAAATGAAAAATCTGCAGAATGTGCCATTTTTTAAATTTGACTAATCATCAGAATAATTTATTAATAGAATAATCATTAGCTGCAGCCTTACTTCTTCATCTGTGTTTAAATCAGATTGTGGACCCCTTGGCCCGAGGCAGAGCTTTCCGGTACCCAGATGAGATGGACAGTTTACCCAAAACGCCCCACACGGTCCACGGGGGCCCCTTCACACCGGGGGTCACCTCTCTGAGCTCCTTCACCAGCCAGCGCTCCGGGTGCAGCCGCCTGCCCAGGCGGAAGAGGGAGTCCGTCGCCCGCATGAGCATCCGAGCCGCATCCAACCTGCTGAGGGTGAGCCGCACTGCAAAAACATAACATCCTACCACCTGATTCTGGTCTAATTTCTAGTGCAAATATTTTATTACACTTGGAATAAGACACAGTTACTTAAGTGTAACATTTCACAAGATATAGAGGCTTGTTTTAAGTAAATAATTCCTTAGTATTGATGAAAAAGTTCTGGTTCTGTTGGCATTTAAATTTACTTATTACATGGAAAAAATGTCTTGTTACAAGTTAAATAATTAAACTAGACTTTTTTAAAATCAATATTAATGAATTATTGACTTAAAACAAGCCTCTATGTTTTGCTGAAATGTTACTTGTATGCCAGTTTTGTCTTATTTCAAGTTTGCTAAGACATTTGCACTAGAAAGTGGAACAAAAATACTCGCAGGGTGTGCACCAGAAAAAACTCAAAACAACAACAAAATAGAACCGTGAACAGTCATTCATCATTTGTCTTTGTTTTCTTTGTTCTTGCTTGACTTCTAAACTAATTTCACACATGACTTGACTTTTAAAATGGTATAATTAAACAGCTGGAAAAAATCTATTAATCATATTTCATTGAGCTAATAAATTTAAAGGAGCTTGATCATTTTAATTTGCACACTAAAAAAGAAAGCAGGTGATCCAACTTATATATAAAAAAGTACATTTATTGCAAGTAATCAAATTTAGTTTATCCAAGTAAATATACGATTAGATAATAATTTGATTACATGTAGCAAATTAACACATTTTTAAAAGTTGGATTTCCATTTTCTTTTTTTCAGTGCACAATTGTTTGTTTTCCTTAACTTTCCAGGAGAAACACTAGTTATTAGTACAAATAGTAGATTTTTTGTGTGTTGTTTTGCCTTTAACATTATTTTACTTGAAAATGGTCTCAAAATGACAATATTATTATTTATCGCATTAATTTCTGGGTCAGTTCATCATCTAGAAAAGTTTGCACCAGCCTGTTGTGCATCATCCGACTTGTTTCGTGGCGTTTTTCCTCTTCAGGGTCGCAGCGGCTTGGCGGATTCGCACAGCACGCGCGGCTTCACCAGGAGGAGCTTCATCCAGAACAACTGGATAGACGAGGACACTGTGGATTCAGGAGACACCACCTCTGCTTCGCTTTTCTTCAGCAAGGTCAGCAGCGGCCGTCCCAAACACTCCGTTTGCCATCAGTTTCTGGAGTCGGCTTCGTAGCTTCTTATCTGATCTTTTCCCGCCCTGCGGTCCTGGACGTGCAGGTTGATGCTGAGATGTACTCCATGGCGGATGACGTGTTTGAATCACCTCCCATGTCGGCCTCTCCCGCATCCACAAAGAAGTTCCCGAGCCTGTGAGTTGGCAGCCAAATTCAACAAAATCTAAACCAAACCTTTTCAGGCCGAGGACGACTTACCTGAAATTACCCCAGTAAAAACACAGCATCTCAATTGACACAAGCTGAAATTAAAATCTGAGTCTCACTGTCTTTGTTCCTCCTAAGGAGAAGGATGGGGCTGTTTTGTAAATGTGACTGGCCTCGATAAAACCATGAACAATTTGTTTGGAGGTATTTACAGACTCTGAAAGTTTAGATCCTAAGCTTACAATATATTGCAGTGCAACACAGACAACTTGACAAGCTGCTTAAAGAAAGGAGGAATAATAATGATAAATAAAAAGCATTTTTTTTTTATCTAAAAGGAACGTATCAAGTTTCAAAAGTCACAAATGTTCACCACAATACATAAAAAAACTAAATAAAATTAAGAATCATACGACCAGTTCCTGGACATTTGATCTTCTAGGAGCCATACTTTTAAGGTAGTAGACATTATTAATATTATTTTTTATTATTGTGATATATAACAAATACAGGTGTCAGAAATGGGTGTAAAGGAAAAACAATAACAGAGAGAAAAAGGAGAAATAGGAAAAGAGTCCAGTGTGGTACTTGGGTATTTGTAGCATTGTAGAAAATTATTTCTAAATACTTGTACGTTTTTACACTGGCTGGTATTTTTATTCCAGTTGTGAGAAGCTTTCACTGAAAACGAGTTCCTGCGTCTAAATGTTGACGTAACCTGATTGAAAAGAGATCAGAGAGGCGACAACTCAGTCACTTCCTTGAGCTAAAGGTTAGAGAGCAACTCAGAGATGGATACAAATACTGGTAATTTTTAAAGGTGGTTGCAGTTTAACGTGCAAAAAACATGCAGTTCCTTTTAGAGCTTCTACACAAATAAAAACCAAGACCTTCAGTGTTTTAATATGAGTATTTTCTCTATCTGTCTGCAGTAAGGACGTCTCTGTGAAGACCCCCATCGCAGCGCCTGAAAAGGGTCTTCCTCCTCGCGGTCGCCGCATCGCTTCCCAGGTGAAGCATTTTGCGTTTGACAAACAGAAGCGTGACTACGGCATGGGCGTGGTGGGCAAATGGTTGAACCGAAACTACCGACGCAGCCTTAGCAGCAACGTCCAGAAGCAGCTGGAGGACTTCCACAGCCACAGGTCAGAAACCACGCAGAGTTACTGCAAACCACACGAGAGTCAGTTCACTGGCACAAACTTAGACTGTTTTGTTAGCAATGCTAGTAAAATAAATTTCATTTTACAGCAGCAGCAGCAGAGTCTGATACTGAAAAACTAACATTTTAAACTATTTGTGTTTAAACAAAACAACACAAAGTTAAGGCCTTGGGAAAAGATGGGTTTTTCTATTTGGTGCATCGTCTATTTCATCTTCCTCAACGTCTGATTCACTGGAAATGGTTAGAAAATAACAAATTCTTGTGTCACATCATAATTATACCCCAAAGAAACAAATAGTCAACAATTATAAGTTGCTAGAAGTTATAATGTACTTACAATAAATAAAATGTGTTTTATTTTAGTTGCAGTAATTGTGCAACTTGTGTTTATTTTAAAACGGTTTTCTAAATCAGGATTTATTGTCTCCTCAAACTAAATGTTTGGTTTTTCAGTGTGAAATTATGGCACTATAATCATATATTTTTATTTATTTTGCATATCTTCCAACTAATTAATCAACATTTTTAGAGCTTAGAGAGAGAAACTTAACTTGATTAAATCTGAATTTTGCAGAGAGATTATTAAATAACATTAGTTCTTTGCCGGTTTGTTGTAATTTCCTTCTGTAATGCGACATTTAATCGTTTTAATCTCTTTCTGTTGCCTTTAAGTGATTTGAGACTTTCTGTCATGTATTTCCAGGCCCTACTTTACCTACTGGATAACATTTGTCCACGTTATTATCACTCTGCTGGCCTGCTGCACCTATGGTTTTGCCCCTGTGGGGTTTTCACAGCGCTCCAAAACTGAACTAGTGAGTGAATTTTCTTTTTCTCCAAACCACTGGAAGTAAGCTGTGCTTTAAAACATTATTCAGTGCAATAAAAGTGCTTATTCTGGCTAATTGTGGCACTCTGTCGCCCTCTACAGGTGCTGAAGAACAAAGGCATTTATGAAAGTGTGAAGTTTATCCAACAGGAGAACTTCTGGATCGGACCGAGCTCCGTGAGTCTGCTGCTTTACTGTGCATGGCTTTCACTCCACACCCAGGATGCATTTGATATTTACAGTTATTAAAATACGAGCATCCGCTGCCTGAGATAAACTCCCTGTCCAGAGAAACTCAGTGTGATGTAGTCGCTGTTACGCGAGGTATTTTTGTTCTAGTGCAGGTTTCCACATGATCATTTCTCACCATGTTTTCTCTCAAAGCTGAGAAAAAAATGTTTATTAAAAACAGTGGTTTAGGTTTGTCTCCTGAGTTCTGCTAAAAACTAGTGATGTTGCTAAGAATATTTGTTTATTGTTACCGCAGCTGGGGAGGTTTTTTTATGTTCACACAACTGGCAAATGCGACCCAAATCCTACTTTTCACGACGGTCTGAAAGGCATAACTTCCATGTTTTTCCCCCCCAAAATAATATCTGTTTGTGTTGCTTGTAATTTGGATTAAATTGGATACACACCTGACTTTTTTCAAAGCATGTGCAGTCTGAACTTTTGTCATTGGGGTGACCCATGCGTCGTAATTTGTTCTAACTGCAGACGTAAATTATAATTAATCAATACTTACTATCCATTCTCCAAGAAAGATCATTGCTGTAGTAGTTGTGCTTTCTTTTTATTAGCTTTCTTCTTGTTATGATCTTGTGACGACACTATCGGCCCCCTCAGCTGAATAAATGTTGATGTTGATCCATAATCGGCGTCATCCATTATTATTTTAGTAAACAGTTTGGTTCTGTGTGAAGTTTTTCTCCTGACAGCTTTGGGGATGTAAGCCGCTCACACAGAAATCTGAGTGTGATCACATTTAATTTAAAGTTATGAACAGCCATGCAAAAAAAAATAAACAAAAAATTAGATTTCAACAAAACATTTTCTATGTAGACTCAGTAGATCTCTCTGAGTTTCTTCATTTGCTGAACTTTACGATGTTTCGTTTTATCTTCCAGGACGATCTAATCCACCTGGGGGCAAAGTTCTCGCCCTGCATGCGGCAGGACAAGCAGATAGTCCGGATGATCCAGAAAGACAAAGATCTGGAAAGGGAATCTGGATGTTGCATTCAGAATGATAACTCTGGATGTGTGCAGACGCTCAGGGCCGACTGCTCGGTATTTTATTCAACCTTTTCCACACAGTTTCTCTGCTGTGATGCTGTCCTGAATCATCAGATTACCACCTGTGGTAGATCAGGTGGTGCAACTAACAGAAAGTATTTTAGTTTTAAGTTAATTAGTTTTAAGGCGTTCTGTGTTACACATACAGATCTGGAAAAAAATTAAGAGAACTTAATATGATCAGTTTCTCTGATTTTACTTTTTATAGGTTTATGTTTGAGTAACATGAACTTTGTTGTTTTTATTCTATGAACTATTGACAACATGCCTCTGAAACTCCAAGCAAAAATTTTGTATTTATTTGCAGAAAATGAGAAATGGTCAAAATAACGAAGAAGATGCAAGGCTTTCAGATCTCAAACAATGCAAAGAAAACAAGTTCATATTCATTTTGAAACAACACTACTGATGTTTTAACTGAAGAAGAGTTCAGAAATCAGTATTTAGTGGAAAAACCACGAGGTTTTCAATGTGGTTCAGTTAATTTTTTATTTTTGTAATTTTTTTTTACTCAAATATATTCACAAGTTGCAGCCAAATATATTTGAAGTAAATTAATTGCTCTAGATTTTATTTTGGGGTGTCAAAGTTGAAGATTCTAAATCCTAATGCAATATTTTTAGATTTTCTTGTACAAAATCTCAAAAGCAATAAGAGCACCACGTTACGTTGCTCTGTCATGCAAGATAAAGCCAACAAATTGCATCAAAGTTGGTGTTTGTCACTTTCCACAGTGTGCACATTTTTTGTAGAGTTTTATCCTGTGAAGAGTTGAAAACTCTGTAGCAGTTAAGCGTTTGAATCATTTCATGCAGGAGACGCTGGCCACCTTCACGAAGCGGAATAACGACACTACGGACCGGTCTTCTGGGGCCGTCTGCCATCAGGATCCCAGGTGAGGGCAGAAAATGTTTCCGCTGCGACTGACGTATAAAAACATGAAACCCTGGTTGACTGAAAATCTCATCTGTTGGGTTGATAAGATTGTGCGAGGAGCCGGCCTCGTCTTTTCCTCACGTATGGCCAGAGGACATCACCAGGTGGCCGGTGAGCAAACGCACCGATGGTTATGAAATGGACTCACCCTGTTTAATTTAAAGTAAAGTTCTTTAAGGGTTTCAGAGGAAATATTAAACGTCTGATCATTTCCTTTGGCAGATCTGCACCCATCCCAGAAAGTTCAACAACACAGGCCTCAAACACATGGACTGCACCATTAAAGGTCGACCCTGCTGCATAAGCACTAAGGGCAGGTGGGAATTTTGGCTTGATTTCTGCTCCGACTGTGTTGTTCTTTCAGCAAATGACCTTTTTTTAGGTCTGTGTGCTCCAGTTAATGACTAATCGATTACTAAGTTAGTTGACGATTATTTGAATAATCGATTAATCATTCAAAACAGCTCCAAAGTGATTTAAACCTTGTTTATTCTCAAATATCTGCACAGTCTTATAAAAATAATTAACAGCATTGACTCTTTACAAGTGGTTTCATCCATACATCCATTTATTTCCTTGCTTATCGTTTAATTAAATAAAACCAAAACAGATCTCCAGTCTATGGTAACCATTTTTAATTGGTGAAAAAATACCAAACTGTGATTTTTGTGCACCTCTCCGTTTTGTCCATCCCTGCTGCAGATGTGAGATCACAACCAGAGAGTACTGCACTTTCATGCACGGTTACTTCCATGAGGAGGCCACGCTCTGCTCACAGGTACTGTGTGTGTGTGTGTGTGTGTGTGTGTGTGTGTGTGTGTGCTCTGTGTGATAGTTTTGTTTCTGATCGCTGTGCTCTGTTGCAGGTCCACTGTCTGGCTGATGTCTGCGGTTTGCTGCCCTTCCTGAATCCAGACGTTCCCGATCAGTTCTACCGGCTGTGGCTTTCCCTCTTCCTCCATGCAGGGTGCGAATCAAGCAGACCACCAACGACCTCTCGCAAAATAAAACGACTTGTTTGATTTCTGGAAGCTAAACCGGGACCTACTATGCAAAATTCACATTTTGAATGTCTGTTTTACTTCCTTTTGTGAATCTATTGCTTCTAAAAACAGCCAAAAGAAGAAAAAAAAAAACACCACCACCCATCTGGTTTTTGGCAATAAGTTAACGATTTTTGGTGACTGGAAAATGAGCTCCAGAACAAAACCTCAAGAATGTAAAGTCACAAATCATCAGTGCACTGTTACCTGGCAACCACAACAAATTCCAGCCCGTTACTTAGCAACCAAGTGGGGCTCCACCATGTTTCTTCAGCTGGTTTTATCACTGTATGCGCTGTACAATGGCTGCTGGAAAACGACGAGTGTTTTGTTGTTCACTTTCCATCCAGAAACTACTTGCTGCATTCTTGTTGGTTGTGCAGGAGGCTCAACTTGTGCTTTTCAAAGATGTACAGTTGCATATGTGCGCATTTATTTGCAGCCATTTTCACATGCGAGTGTAAACGTTGAGTTGGAGGCGTGGTCAGCATCAGCTAATTGAATTTAAAGTGACAAGAGGCTCAAAATAGGCAGAACTGATCAGACTAAAATCTCATTCGCTGAACATGTTTTGTAAAGCCCACGGAGCGATCCTAATCTGTTAAAGGAAGCATATGTCAACTTTTAAAGATCCTTTTGAATTTAGAATAAATCGTCTCACCTTATCATGGTTGTTTTACAAACAAGAAGAGACTTTTGAGTCATTTCCTACAGATAAACCTTCTACTTAAATCTTGAGGATATTTCTGGATTCTGGCCTAATTAAAGAGGTGAGCAGTTCACTCACATGAGCTCCATAATGCTCAGAGCACAAGGGAAATCCCTCACGTTCACTCCTTTTAATTTGAACAAGCAGAGCAAAAGAGCTTAGTGATTTAAGCGAGCATAGCACACTTTCTTTCTAACAGATTCCTCTGTGTGTGTGTTCAGGCTCTTTCACTGTGTCGTGTCCGTGGTGTTCCAGATGACCGTACTCAGAGACCTGGAGAAGCTGGCAGGTTGGGCCCGCATCTCCATCATCTACATCTTCAGTGGCCTCACCGGAAACCTGGCCTCTGCCTTGTTCCTCCCCTACAGAGCCGAGGTGAGCCCTCCGTGTGAATTCAGGTGCTCGCACAAACCTGGCGGGGAAAACGCGCCAGCAGCTGCGTTTCCATTACAAACGTGTGCAAAACTTTGTTGATGGTTCCACTAATGTTGCATAAACACAATTATGCAATTGTGACATTTTCAACGAATAAGAAACGCAATTAAAATCTAGTATGAATAAGTTTGTTCAATGTGATAATTAGTTAAAAAACATGCAGCGCCGTCAGTCTCCCACTACTTCCTGTCAGCTTCTTCTTCGTGGTTTGCCGCAGTGGCAACATCCGGCTGCTGGTCATGTGACTTGTGTGATGCATAAAAAGTGTTTCCTTTGCAGCTTTGCAAAATAAACCAGTTTTGTGGCAGCCAACAAAACCATCTCATCCTAGTGACAAAATGTACAAAAAAAAATCCAATCAATGGTAATTTAACTTCCTGTTTCACGACGTCTCTTGAAGAATGCAAAATGAAGAAATGTGACGTTAAACAGTCACATTTACTCCTTTTCTTATGCTTTTTGCAAAATCACTTTGAGATATTCTGTGAGATTTGCTTATGCTGCTTGTTGTCAAAAGGTTTGTTAGTTACGTCCTGTAATAACTTGGATTAACTCATTACGACGTTCATGATGAAACTACATGAGATTTCCTCTTTCAGAGTGCCTGGTCAGGTGAGCTGAAGGAGAGGAGAAGCCGTTCTGTTAGTTCACAAGATTAAAACGGGAGAGAAAGTGTCACAGAGTCAGCCACGGCTACGTCTCTGGATAAGTAGATTTTCTCATTAGTAACACCAGTTATTGCCCCATAAAAGGGGAAAAACATAAAATATTAATAAAATTGGCATGTAGAGAAATAGCAGTCTTGATTACGGGGTTTTTACCCACATGTGAGGCTGGAAAGTCCACTTTTCTTATTAGGAGATTAGCCTAATGCCTTTGTGTGGGCTAACAAAGGCCCCTGCCTCAGTGCTTGGTGAATGGGATTACTTCTTCAGTTTAAATAAAAACAACTGTAGCAACGTCTGGGCTCCATCCACACGTGTTGATGAAAAAGAAGCTAATCCTGAGACTTGTTCTCTCTCTGATGCTGTTCAACTTAAACATGGCTTAAATTAAAAACAAAAACATGTTATGTTATCCATTGATTCTGTAAGATGGTGGCGTGTGATTTTCAGTGACATGAGAGCCGGAAACCTTGGCACCCAACTCTCCTCATCCCTGACCGTCCCCCAGCAGGTCTTTAAATACCAGCAGCGACCCGAGGAAGCACATGCAACACACGACACATGCCGGTCAATCCACTTAAAGAGGCGCTTTAAGTGGATTATACTGTCAGCGTTAAGTCATGGAGCCTTATGGAAAAATAACGCAAACAACATGGAAGGAGAGAGAGTTTAGATTTGTCAAGGATGGGAACCTGAAATGGATTGTAACATTGCTCCATTCTTGTTTTAAACTAGAGATAGAGAAGCATCTATGCCAGTTATCTGTGTTTTAATTATTACAGTAAGTAATGCTAAACTGAAAGCCCTCCACTGCTACATTCACACTGAAGTCCAAACGGCCCAATTCTGACCTTTTCACCCCAAAACAATCAAACTTTGACCACTCATATATGTGGAACTAATTCAGACACGTATCCGATCGTTTTCGGTGTCAGCAGTCTGAACGGTAGTGACGCATTTTATCCAACTTTTACATCATCGATGTGAGAAAAGCGTCACAATTCTGCATCAGCAGAAACCAAATGCGCTAAATCAGAATGTAAATAATGGCGGAAAATTAGAATATTGAAAAATCTGAACGTATAGAACATCACACTGTAAAACATTTGAGTTGTATTTTGTTGTTTTCTGTCTTCTACTCTTTAAGTCAAATAAATTTAAAGTTTTAGATTTTGAACCTAAATGTGAGTTTGTGAAAGATAAACTTACACCAGTAAGTTGTGTTCAAAAATGTATATCTATATAAATTACAGCTGATGCTCCACAAAACACTGTTGCTGTTAGTTGACTCTCATCACTGTATAGCTATAACATAAACCAACTTCTTTAAACGTCAACGTCCTTCTCCTGCATACTGATCACTGTAGGGTTATAAATCGTTGACACAAACGTCTGATTGCAGTTGCATTGAATTATTAACATGAACAACACACAAAAATATCAGATTTCAGCAAATAAATTGGAACGTAACCTCAGTTGGAAACAGCAACAGATGGCTGAACGTCTTTGACTGCAGGGTCAAAGGAGAGAAAGTTGCCTGCAGGTTGGATACATGCAGAGACGCAAGAGAAGATTTTCCTGACAAGCTTTAAGTTCAAAGGTTGAACTTTATTCTTGATTCTTGAGCATTTTTGACCGGCAAAATACAAGTATTAGCAGTAGCTTTATTAGTTTTTGCAGTACTTTCATAGTTTAATCATGAGGGTCCCTGTGATTCCGGTGCCTAATTCCTTAATTTTTTTGTTAATGTGAAATTTTTTAACATTAAACTACAATAAAAAACGATGTTAAAGAAATAAGGATTTAGGATTTTTTTTATATATATAATACAATAATTGAGGTATTTTAGGTGCACAACTCTTTATTGCTGCATAATTCCTTGACTCCAACTGCAGAAAGTCATAAAAGTAGTTTCATTTTTGTGTAAATAACTGATGCTTAAGCTCTTTTAATTCCCAGACTTTATTAATAACATCTAAAACATGGAAGCATGCATTTGGAAAATGGCCCATTTTGTGCCTAATCCTGCTTCTGTTTACCAAAGTGAGTTCTTATTCAGTCAGTGTTCCAGTTTGATGTGTAGTGAAAACGCGTTGAGCAATGCTGTGTGGAAACAGACGCCCGGAAGTGGAGATTATAGTTGTTGTCTCTGGCCAGGAGGAATTAGAAAGAGGAGGATGTTCTGTTCACCTGGTTGGTTAGTTATTCTCTGCAGCGCCTCGACTCAGCTCCAGATACAGGATTCATCCTCAATGTGGCAACAAGTGAAAGTCTGGTCAACAATCTGAGCAAATTTTGACTTTTGTTCTGTTGGGTAGAGCTGCATCTTTTACTCAGGTTGAAATTTTCACTCCGAAACCTGTTTTTTGGTGTTTGGTAAATGTGCCGCTTCAAAAACCTCCTGATTGTTTAGTCACATTCAACAGGCAGTGCACTGTTACCTAGCAACCCCAGCGGAACTCTGCCAGTTACCAAGCAACCCTGGCTGAGATCCAGCACATTTGGTCAGCTGGTTTTTACTGCTGTATGCGCTGTACAATGGCTGCTGGAAAAGGACAACTGTTTTGTTGTTGGCTTCCCACCCAGAAACCACTTGCTGCATACTCGGTTGTGCAGGAGGCTCTAGTAATGCTTTTCAAAGATGCATAATTGCGCATCTTTTTGCAGCCATTTTTATCTGCTAGTGTAAATGCAGAGTTTGGGGGCGTGGCTAGCAGCAGCTTATTTGGATTTAAAGTGACAGGATGCCCTAAAACAGCTAATAGTCAGAACTGACCAGACTAAAATCTCATTATTTAAGAATAATTTTGTGCAGAAAATATGACAAAGATGTTTTGTAAAGCCCACCAGTCTATTCTAACCTGTTAAGTCACCTTTAATCATGTAACCTGTGTGAAGATACACTTCACACCAACTCAGCTTTTTGGCCGTCTTTGTGGAATAACAATTAAAGGTGACTCAGTTCAACTCGGTTTATTTGCAGAGCGTCAATTCACAAGTAATGTCGTCTTGAAGCATCTAAAAAAAATAATTTCAATTCAATCACACACATATTCCAATTAATTCTAGTTATTAAACAGGTCATTAATCTCAGTTTATTATTCAGATTGGTTTAAAAAGTTTTTATCCAAGACGTGCAGAAATCTCACATTGACATTAAAGCAAGAAAGATATAATCTCCTCCCAAGCATAAAAACATCTTGTGAAATAACTGTTAGTTTAAGGAAAATTAAGTTTCAGCCAAAACTTAACTCTGAAGCAGTAGCTTAGCTAGCATTTTATCAACAGTGACTCCATTCCAGCCACTGACTGTGAATGACCTTTGCCCTCTGTGAGTGGATCATGTCTTTCCGTGTGTCTGCGACGTGTGGGTGGAGTGCCGCGTCCTTTTTTAGGCTGCTGGTGTTTAATGTGTTCACAGATCACCCGTCTGATTAGCCAGCTGACCAGGCCAAACTCAGCGCTGACGTCGCGTTAATCTGCTCACCGTTCCTGCCTGACCCATTCTGCAGCTCTATCCCAGAACTGTATCTATAACTGAGGCACACACTGCAATGTTGCAAAGCGAACTACAATCAGTGTCATTTTAAGATGCATTTATTTTATAAGTATGTCGCTTTTCTTGGTCAGAAAAGAAAAGAGTCTTTGGAAACGGTTCCTGTTTGACTGCTGCAACTAATTTTCAGGGGAAAAAAAAGAATGATGTGTTTTTTTTTATTACAGATAATGCCTGATACTAGCAACTTTTCTCCAAGTTCAGTTTGCCTAATTTACTTAAATGCTGTCTTAAGAAGTTAAATTAAAAAAGTAAGAAGCTCTGATTTCGCTTAACTTGTGGATTATTTCTTCAACTCGGGTCTCACAGCCGTACAACTGCAGGTGCTACTGATACTCTGTGTGTTTCTACCCAGAAAAAAAAAAGATTTTCCACCAAGTCAGTCACCAATTAAAGCATGTTGAGCTAAAACTGGACTGAACTTTCGCTATTTCTCTCTCCCTCCAGGTGGGTCCAGCAGGCTCCCAGTTTGGACTCCTTGCCTGCCTCTTCGTCGAGCTTTTCCAAGGCTGGCAGATGCTGGAAAAGCCGTGGAAGGCCTTCCTCAAGCTCCTGGGCGTTGTGCTCTTCCTCTTCCTGTGTGGCCTCCTGCCGTGGATCGACAACATCGCCCACATCTTCGGCTTCATAGGCGGGCTGCTGCTCTCCTTCGCCATCCTACCATACGTCACCTTCGGCACCTTCGATAAATACCGCAAGCGGATCCTGATCGTTGTGTCGCTGGTTTTCTACGTCGGGCTCTTCTCCTCCCTCGTGGTTTGGTTTTACGTTTACCCCATCAACCTCCACTGGCTGGAGCATCTCACCTGCCTCCCCTTCACAAGCAAGTTTTGTGAAAAGTATGACATAGACCACAATATCAACGACGTGGAGCACTAATCTTCAGGTCTTCTCTCTGCTTTGAGGTAGTTTGCTTCCAGGTCTTCTGTTTTGTTTTTGTTTTTTGACAATCAAAGAGTTTTTATCTGAAAACTGGAAGCTTCCCCTCTTGCCAATCTGATGACTCTCTTTGAACTCACTCCAGTCCTCAGGCAGGTTTGACATGATCCCATCTGGGTTTTTCATTTGTTCACAAGCAAATAACTCATCAGAATCAAGAAAATACAGTTTGATGGAGGTTTGAGCCAACAGAGAAGATGGGAGCGACTCCAGTCTGTAGGTGCCATCCCTTTTAAGTCTGCTTAGAGGAATATTAAATTCATCAGGTTCCAACACTACAGAAGCAGTCAGTGGTTCTGCTTTTCCTCTTATAAAGTTAAAAAAAAAAAAATTTTAAAGATTTATTTTTGCCCATTATATGAATGCAGAATGGAGAATGCTGCGATGGCGTCCAGGGGTAAAGGGCTAGTTCACTTTTTTGGGAGGATTTCTGCATTTCTTTTTGAAACTCATTTTATTTCTAAACCATATGAAGATCAAAGTGTCAGTAGTGTCAGAATGCATTGATAAAACAACCCAACAAACTTAAAATATTAATAAAAATATGTCTCTGTATTCAATTAGTACTTCATTAGAGTTAAAGTCTTTTCACATGCATGCAATTTGATAATATACAGATACAAACAACTTTGATTTGATTGATGAAGTCTGCCACCGATCATTATCGGCCGATTTCCGTGAAAAAGTGTATGATCGGTGATCGCCGATCACGGTCTCTTGTTGCCGATCACCTGTATCTCATTCACAGCCTGCAGCTGTCTCATCTGCCCTTCACACTGCGCAAGCGCGCAGCAGTAAATGCTAAGCAATGTGGTGTTTAACTATAACGCTCTGAGTGAACGGGGAAGTTTGCGTGTTGCGGTGGAAAATTACCTCGGGGTTGAAGCACGTCACAATGCATCAACTCAACGAATATAATGTGACATCTAAAAAAACAAGCATTTGACGGAGTTTGGCTACATCGAGGCTCAATGCAGGAAAAAAGGACATCCGGAAGCAGCGCACAACTACCAACACTCACCCAGATTAGCATCACGGTCAGAAAGCTAAACAACCTGAAAGATAATTCAAGTCTTGAGCTAGCGGTGTAAGACGCTGGTTCTGTTGGTAGTGATATTTCACAGACGGAGCGCCGCTTCTGCTCCACCTGCAGTGAAACCTCTGCTTAAAGCAGCACGTAACTTAGAAAAAGATTTTAGATATGTATTAAAATTTTCGTTGTTCTACGGATAATCTCTGAAAAAATAATCGGTCTCCTCTGCCTCCTCCTGTGTTCTACAGAATTACTCCGCTCGGTCAGAAACAACCAATCAGAACCAGCATTAATCAGCTAGCCAATGAGAAACAACCAATCAGAACGAGCATTAATCAGCTAGCCAATGAGAAACAACCAATCAGAACCAGCATTAATCAGCTAGCCATGCTATCAGGAAGGATTGTTTATTTTGATGCAGCCTGCGTTTGACTTTGAGTGAATGTTTCCTTTTTTTACTTGACTTTATTTGATATAGGCAGATTTATTTGACTCCTGTATAATTTATGGTTATGGCCTTACTATTAAATATTATTTTACTGATTGCAGCTTTTGACTGAGTAACTGCAGTATTGTGCCTGCAAGTATTTTGCATGTTTTATGCCTAAATTAGGTGAATTTATATCCTGATCTTTTTTTTTATTTTGTCAGATCACATAGTGGCATTTATACCTAAAGCAAAAACTAAACAATCAATCCAGGTGATCGGCAGAGATCGGCCTCATTGGTGATCGTTATTGGAATTGGCAGCAGAAAACCTGATCGGAGCATCCCTAAGTCGTATTTAAGCGCACAACTATTGGAGGTTCATTTTACATGTCTAAAAAATTTATGCTGGGCCAGATTTGGTACATAAATGTATCCATCTTGTTTTTTTACATGTATTGGGGGATCCTTGAACCCTTTATTAAATTGCTCCTATTGTTTCAAAAAGGGTAAATTTACAAGTTTCCACCACTTATACCACCTTAAAAGCGGTCCTGTTCTCTGCAAGAGTATTCAGACTCTGCCACCAACAGCATTTTATTCCACCATCCAACACTACGTAGCATTTAATTCAGAACAAGGGGTAAAATGTGTAGTTTTAATATTGTTTATAAACATCCAAGAAGCATGTCATGGAGTTGTTTAGATCCCTTTACTCTGTGCCCACAAATAAAAAGAAATTTTTCTGCAGAGTTCATTTAATTAAAAGGGGAAGTATAATTTAAAATTACAGGGGTTTTTTGTTTGTTTTTTTACTTTATATCATGTCATAATGTTACTGACCAGGAGAAAAGTACCTGTAGTGTTTCTTTGATTTGTTTTTTTTTTTCTTTAATCTCCTGGCAGCCATTCAGGGGTGAATAAAACTGGAGAAACTCTGAAATAGCCCTTTTCCCACCTGCTGGATCTGAAAAAGCTCACTGAATGCAGACTTCGTCATTTTAAACCTTCTTAATGGTATGCTCCATGTATTACTCTAAATATGCAGCTGGAATAGTTGGTCTGAAACCTCTTCCTGCCTTAAACCAACGGAGACGCCTCACTAACCGTGGATTTATTCATCTTAAAGGCAAACTGTGGCTCCCTTACCAAAGTGACTTCACCTGCTGCTTTTTTATGCTGCCACAAACATTTTGGCCCCATAAAATGTCCACAAACTCCTCATGATTATATTTATTTTAGGATTAAACTCTGCATAGCTTTCCTTTTTTTGTCTAATCAAAGTATTTTTTGAGGTAAGATGATTGGTCTGTTTCATCTTCTTTACACTCTAAAACACAAAGTTTTACCAAGAATTTTTAGTCTGGTTTATAGTACAAATATTTTAGCACACTTGAAATACAAAATTAACACCAATATTGTGATATTTTGTGGTAACGCTAAAAATTACTGTTTTTTCTTCAGGTAACTGTATGGCTATGAGTGCATGGCAAATCATTAATATCACCAATATACTCTTAAAAAAATCCTATTTTAAATAGTCTTTAGGACTCCACTTAATGAAGTGTGATTTAAACTGTACGTAGTAACTTTTTAAATCATATTTTCAAATTTACTAATACTTATTGGTGCTCTTGTAAAAATAATTTCCAATAAGTGTCAGTTTTGTTTTGTTTTTAACATCATTAATTGAAATCAATAGGCAATAAATCTAAATTTTCCCTATAAATAATAAACGATACAGTAAATTCCCAATATGAGTTTTTCAAGTCAATCATTTCTCAACATTAATGAAAAATTAATACTTATAAGTGAAGTAATCTGCCACCACAGCTAGATATTTTAACTTATAATATTCCCATATTGTGAGTTTCATCAATATCAAGGAATTATTTCTAACTGAAAAGTTACTTGTCGGATAGTTCTGTCTCATTTCAAGTGTACCAAGATATTTTCCCTGAAGCTAGACTAAAGATCCTTGGTGGTATTTAGTGTTTTTCCGTGTTTTTCCGTCCCAGCTTCTTGCCCTGATCGATCCATGTTGCTGTTTTATCGGCTCCCTGACAATGTGAGCAAGGTCTGGGTAAAAACCCTGACAAGTGAAACATTTCTAACAGCATCTGACTGTATTTTAAGTATTTGGCAAAAAAGTGTCAGCCTGCAGCTGCTTGAAAAGCTGCAGTAATGTTGAGGAGGATTATGTGGGTTTAGTTGGATTACAGTAGTCGGTGAGACTAGCTCACTGATCAGCTGGTATTTATGAGAAAACGAGTCATAAACCTGGTTAAATAGGATTTTTTTTTGTTGTTGTTTAGGAAGCCTCCTTACTGTGCCTTTGGATATATGAGCATGTCAACCATGATGAATGCAAGCTGCACTTCCTCTGCTGTTTTATGTCAGGACCAAATCATTTACTGTTTTTTTTTTTCTATTTATTTGAGGGGAAAAAGGGAATGTTTCGATTAAACCTAAGGTGATGGCCTTGATACTGTTCTGTTTTGCTTCATTTTTGATAAATCTGTAAAAAATGTTCATTTTAAAGAAGTCATGTTAAAATAAACAACACTTAGATATACTTGACTCTGTTTTTTTTCTTATAACCTCTTCACTGTCAGTTATGGCAGAAACAATCCAATTAATCATGATAAACTGACTGAAATAATTGCCAATTTAATCATTGATTAGTTAACTAAAAAAATATTTTAAAAAAAATCTGGTACCTTTTGCTATTCAGTTAATCAGTTGATCAAAAAATACAACCAGCCTTACACTGTATAGATAAGTTTTCCAATTTTTACAGTCAGAATAATCAATAGATTACTAAAATAATTTCTCATTTACCATATCAACATAATCCAAACCTTTTAATGAAAATCAGCTTTTGTGGAGGTTCAGAACTGCTCAGATCTTACTATTTAAATCCACATTGTGAAAAATATTCCTCTTTTGCAGATGTCTCCTAATTTTGCTACACCTACATGTTTCACAATATCAAACTCATTTTTACCCCTTAAATTTCCTGCAATTTTCACCCAAAACGGCATGATAGTAAAAGTTCTGATAAAAACTTTGACAAATTGACATTTTCCCACACAAGAAAACAAATTCAGAAAAGTCAGAAAATAAAGCCTTTATATTTTAAAAATAAAACTGTACAACAAAAACATTCAACCCCTGAGGATTTAGGAGGCAAATTGGGTGACATCTTACAAGGAAAAATACAATTTTCTTCCATTTTTGCAGTTCTGTGATTATATAATTCCTGTTGAGATCTGTTTTTACACACGTTGTTCACAGATGGTGGGCAAATGGATTTACAGGATGTTTGCCAACCGGAACACCGATGTGTTAAAAAAAAGCAAAATACAATCAGATCCGTAACAACACATTGATAGCTGATATCACTCATCCATAATTACATTCATCATACAATTTACCTTCATTACTTTGGCAATGTATTTATGCTGTTACAATACCGATGTTACGTTTTACAGCTCATCTGTTACAGATTTGTTAAATGTTTTATCTGAAATATTACAACTGATGTAAACGATTATGTAATTTAAGAGTTTGAAATAATAAGTTTTGAGTTTATTTATTCTGTGGGGAAAAGTAACAGTAAAATAGTTTTTAACCAACTCCACATTGGGTGCTTGGTTACAATGAGCGAGGCGTTTACTGTAAGGCTTTTTCCACGTCTTTTTCACAAGTGCCAGTAAATTTGTTCTCATCTATAAAAGTATAAACCTCTTAATTTGGCTTCAAAAACCCAGCATTCAGGATTTATGTTTTAGTTTCCAAAGTCTGAACTACAGCTGGGCAATGGAACTGAAAAACATGTCACGATGTAACCGTTTCATATCTTTCTATCAATAATTATTGATTAGTTTTTGTTTTAAATATCTGAAATACTGCCAAACTGATGACGCGACCTTTCCCGTTTTATCCAGTTTCCACTCCATGCCATTTTTTTAAGCAGTTGTGAGCCACAGAGGAGAAACCTTAAACTGTTAATGCTTACTCCACAAGTTGTTGCTAGGTAACCAAAGAGTGAGTGAGTGAGTTGATTCTACCAACTTTGCTTAGCTAGCCGTTAGAGGTTGAGCGGCTAAAACCTTTCCTCTGCCTACATCCCCCAGAATGCTGTGCAAAAACTCAACTGGATGTATTATCTATTGATATTGATCTCTTGTCTATCATGATATCTATTTTTTTTTTGCTTTTTTGCCCAGTCATAGTTTGAACTATAACAAGGACTGGATGAAAGAAAAGGCAGCTTGCAGTTCGTTAAGTGTCCAGCATTTTCTTTCAAAACACACAATGTTTTGTTTTTCAAAGTTTCATGAAGTTGCCTCTCGCACTCTTTGCTCCAATGGCAACTTCTCTCTCTTCAGCACAAATCTTGACAGTTTCCAGCCAACAAGAACGTATCCAACAGTTGCTGAAAGCTGGAGGTCAGCTCTTTGTTTACAGCTTCACGAAGGCTCTCTTCTCACCGGCTGCTGAACATTTTTCACTCAGAGATTAGACAAATCCCTGCTCCACTCACATGCCTCCACTATGCGAGGCTTAAGGAATGTCAATGCATCCTGTTTTTGGAAACATTAAACCAAAGTCCCGTCCTTCAGCATCCACTGTTGCGCCGCATAAAGGCATGGCCCCTGACTGGGTAGAACATCTCGATGAAGTTGAGAGGTCCCACAGTGATCTCAGCGGGGCCCAAAGCCTTGAACCCTGACTTCTGGTAGAAGGGAACCAGAAAGTCCTCACACATCAGGACAGCGCGTCGCACGTAGGGCAGACAGCGGAGGTACTGCAGGTAGCGCCACATCAGAATAGAGCCCTTCCCCTGCTGCCTGAAGGTCCGGTGGACGGCGAGGACGTGGATATGGACCGTGGCTCCATGAGACTTATGGAGAGTCAAAGCATCCTGGAGAACAGAGAGACAACAGGAGACATTTAGGATTATGTAAGTAAGAGAGAGTCAGCCTCCCTCCAAACTACCAACATGACTTACCCTTCCACTAATTTTTAACTCTGTCTGCTTTGGTTACTACCGATGAAACTCAAAACATCTCCTTCTCCTGTCTTTTTATTTGGACTAATCAGAGCAAATATCACTACTAGGACTGGAATGATTGATCAGATTACTGGTGATGAATACATAGTTCCAATAAGTCTGAACCAGAACCGCCATCTTGGTAGGCAAGCTCAAAGCACAGATGCAGCATGGCTTCAACACCAACATAAAAACCATATTGACACTCTTGCCCAATGTGCAGCAGAAAGACATATCAACAAAATCTGTGTTGTCAGAATCAACCCATATGAAACAGATAATGGAAACATGTGGACAAGCTTCTTCTGATCTACCCTGAGATTGTTCGCTAGTGAACACGAATGGTGTTTAACCATGGAGGAGTTTCACGTCCTGAAGTCCATGGACACATATAATCAGTGTTTCAACGGTTTTGTAAAGGACGTATGAATTCTTCATGTGAATAACAAGGCTCTAGCGATTGCCAGAGTTAGTACATGTAGGCTCCATGCCAGTCTTAGCTAGCAGATAAAACCTACATTAGCTGAGCTAATTTTGCTAGTCCAGTAGTAAGTACTACATTAAATACCACTGATATTTATCATTATATTACAAAAAAAATTTTTATAGTTGTAGTGTACTTGTATTGTAAATTAGATAGGAATGAGGGAGGAAAAAAATCAGAAAATAACTACCAAGAAGAAAGAAAAAAAAAGTCTAACCCACATATGTTAAATAATTGCATTTTTTGTTATGACACCACTTGGTTATCTTCTGTGATTTGTGTTTGTCTTTAATTTATCCAATTTAATTAGCTTTTATTTATCTCTCTCTCACACATTGCTTTGTTGTTCTTTTTGTTTGTTTGTTCTCTTTCCTAACTTAATTGGGTATTTTGTAGATCAAAACTTCTGTTAGGTAGTAAATAATGGTTGTTTTGTATGAACAAATTGGTGAATAATATATATATTTTTAAAAAAATAATAAAAAAAATCTTTCAGTCTGTGTCTCCAGAAATATTTCAGTTTACAATCGCTATAAACGCCCTCCATAAATAAATCTGTTATTCGTAGCCACTCTCGGCGCGCTTAGCTCCGTCTCACCATGGTTAGCCTCTCCTGGTCCCACAGAGAGCCGATGATGAACGCCACCAGCCGTCCCTCCTCGAACCAGCCGAGAGAAAGCTCGGGACACAGCGTGAGGAAGTGACGCACCTCGTCCAGGTGGAGCGGGCATTCTCCGGACACTGAGATGAAGGCTGTTAGGTGAAAAACAATGGAAGAGAATCTTGAGTGAGTTTTTAAACGTTAAATCTATTCCACCATTCCTTAGCAACCACTTCCTCACGTGCCGTTCCTTGGCAACCACTCACTTTAGGTTAAGAAGCTTAGCTTTGCTAGCAAGCGTGACTCTAGCATTAGCGCTGTGGCTAAAGCTGGAGATAAAGTTAAAAAGTATTTCGCTGACAACTCAGAAACTTTTTCAACCTAAAATCTTAGAATATTTCTGAACTTTTACTGAGCTTAGATGTCAGGAATAAAGTCCAAATGTCTGGTAATTTTTTTTAAAGCTGCAGTATGCAACTTCTAGAATATGTTTAATGTCTTGACGGTTTGAGACATTCTGTGAAAAATCAAGTGCCTCCCTGGGGTCCTACCGCCACCTGCGGAATTACACTGCTCCGAAACCAATCAAAGACAGGAAGGGGGTCTTACAATTGTCAATCACCTTTGTGTATATGCTGCTCACGCCCTTCCCCTTGCTTTCTATTATAATTTTTTTCCTCCTAATGGAGCCCGTCATCAGGTTAGTTAGCATGAATGCGGATAAACAGTTTTTCTGTAACAATAAGTTGTGCCATTAGCACATTGAGCAGCATGTGCATGTGGTTTTTTTTTTTTTTTTTTTTTTTTTTGGCTGAAACTGAATACTTTTTTATATCTGCAATATGCCGTTGTACAAATACATTTTGCAAGAGCAAAAGCTGTTACAATCAACCACGGTCCACTCCAAGTTTAAATTACTAACATTTATTACGTCTAAGAATGCCTCTTTTTGACTACATGTATGAAAGCATATAGTTGGAGTGTGCGTAATTGTGATCTACTGGTTTAATTAGACAGCAACAGCAACCTTAGCGCTGAGACTCTCCAAGTAAAAAGTTTGTGTTACCTTCTCTCTCTATCTCGAACACGCTGATTGCGTCCTCCGGACTCAGGGAGCGGAACTCGCTGGCCGGCAGCGTGTGGCGGCGGCCCTGCGGCACCGGGGAGCGCACATGGTGCAGCGGCTTCATGAACGGCAGTGCGCCCAGCACGGACATCCCTACGGTCCCGTTTGTCTTCAGAAGCAGGCAGGTTAAAGACACTGATAATACCACTTATAACTGTTTTATTCGAGTCCACTCGTGGACAGCAACTTCGCGGATAGTTTCCTCCACGCGCTGCCGGCCTCGTGCGTAAAGACTGAGCTGGACGCGGCGCGCCGGGAGGATTTATATCGGTGCGCAGGGGCGGCTGTTTCTAATCCCGGGGTGAGCTGGAAGCCCAAAGCCTCCTTTCCTGGCGAGCAGGTTGAACAATAAACATATTTACCCGGGGTAAGCGGGGCCAATCGTGTGTTTACAATGATCCTTATGCGTCAGAGCTAGATTCCTGGATCATGAGTTGCGGTATCTAATTAAGCTTTTTTTTTATCTATTAAGATGTGACCTTGGTCACAGCAGGACAGCAGATATGTCCATCAATCCTTCAGAGGGATAAACTGTATTTTTCCCGTCAATTTTGTGACACAAAACCCTCTGATTTCATCTCTGCTGGTCTTGCCTAATTGGGAGCTCTGCAGGACTTAATTACATGATCTTATTTTTCTGTAGGAGACTTTCAGTCAGCTGAATGTTGCTCCTTTAAGCTCAGTTTATGTTAAATTCCCTGCTTTATTTTCCAGTTCTGTAAGAGGATTACAGGATGTGTATGAGTTTGTTTGTCACCTCATCAGCATTAAAGCCACTGATCTTTTTGGACAAACATTATTTATGTAAGATGTGGCAAATCCCGATCTTTACACTGGGGGCCCTGATCGGTTCATTCAAAAAAAGAGGTCAAAAGAAAAGTAAAGTGTGTCATTATGCAAGCAAAGATCTAAAATAATAATAATTATGTATATATATAAAAAAAGAATATTTCATCACTGTGGCTGATGCTAATGCTTCACTATGCTCCTGGAAGTTTAATTATATTCTATCAAACACCTATTGTTGCTTCAAACTATGAGACAGTTTAGCCCTTTTTTAATGGAGTCCATTGTACGGCTACTTTTTAAATATCTTTTCTTCCAGGGAAACGTCGTCAATTTGAATTGTTTACTGAATAATTTGTGAAATGTTGAAGTAGTAGTTATGTTTGAATAATTTTAATATTGAATATTAATTATTATTATTCAAAAATAATTATTCAACATTATTTTGAATAACTGTAATATTATTCAAAAATAAAATAGGTTTCTTAATTGTCTGAGCACATGCATTCTTCTACATATTTTCAAGTACAATAAAATGTGTAAAAATATACAATGCATACTGAGAAATTCAGAGAAAAATGAATAAATGCAAGAAGCATATAAAGGAATAAATACATCAAGTTGGTGCACTTCTTTTATTTCATGTTGAAGAATGTGAAATTATTTGTCAACATTTTGTACACAAGGAACTTGACTACAAATAGATAGATAGATAGATAGATAGATAGATAGATAGATAGATAGATAGATAGATAGATAGATAGATAGGATTATCCTCTCGACTCGTTTTAATTTCCTGCTAAATAATGTTTTAAATCAACACATTTGTGGACAAGTGGAGCCCAACAGTGCAATAAATTAAATCATCAAATGAATATTTAATGTGTCAGCATTAGTGCTTAATAAACTTTAAATTTTTAAATGAATATTGAAATAATTATATGCTACTACCTTCTAATTTAAATAATTTAACTAGTTCTGTGTTTTATAAGTTTTTGATACATAGAAACAGTTATAGATTGCTTTATCTATCTATATATATATATATATATATATATATATATATATATATTTTTTAAATATTAAAAATAAAATTGACTCTCCTGTAAATTTATTGGGGAGTGTCTGTTTTGGCGAGCTCTAAATTTCTCCTTAAAATAACAGCGATATTGACTTTCAAAATTATTGTCCTCAAGTTTGTGTTTAAGGGTGCCTCTTAGTGGTGGCAAATGGTACTGCGTGATGACGCTCCTAACCGCTACATACCACGTATGCCCTCCGTCGCTACGTAAACACGTGCACCTCACTGCTTCCAGTTTCAGCCCTTTCACTTCACCGTCATCCTCGCGCTTCTTACATCACTCCTTGACAACAGCAGCGATGGCGGAGCCCGTAGCATCGGATGCGGCGACAGCACCAACGGACGAAACGCGCACGGCTGCATCCCCGACACCCGGCCTTTCTCCCGCACCGAGCCCGGGTTCGGAACCTCCATCCATGGCTCTGTCTCCCACGGCAGACGGCTCGCAGCGGCTGCTGTTTTCCCACGACCTGGTCTCCGGACGGTATCGCGGCTCAGTCCGGTACGGCATCGTTCGGATGATTCACGGGGAGGAGGATTTTAACTCAGATTCGGACCTCGACGATGGCGGAGGGAGAGGCGGCGGTGGTAGTGGTGGTGGTGGGGGCGGCGGCGCAGGAGGAGGAGGAGGACGAGTCCCGTGTGGTTCGGATACTGAAAGTGCCATGGACACCCCGAGTCGGCCTCTCGGAAGGGGGTTTGTCCGCGTGCAGTGGTACCCCGAAGGAGCCAAGCAGGACATCAGAGAGACAAAGGTACCACCGGCTTTTGTTTTAACTGCTTACACTGACAACGGGTGTCTGTTCCAGCCTGACTACGATGCTGCTCAACACTAACGCGTTTGCTTTTGGGTTTTTTGCTGGAGATAAATCTGCACAGAACTCAGTCAAGGGATAAGGTCCCCCCCTAATCTGCCTGGAACTACAAACCTAGCTCGCTAATTGGCTAGCATCTAAGCACACAAACTAGCTAGCAGGCTAGCTGCCTATCTCTCAGCTAAACAGGGCTGTTCTATCTCACAGTTTTCATTTTGCTAAGCTAAATGTATTCAGTCAACAGTCGACTTTGTGCAGGTGTCCATGTTTCAGCAGGTGTCCAGCTGTAAAATCACACCTATTGATTATTTCATCCTGATTCTGGAGTTCCTCAGCTGGGTGTGACCAGGCTATCTAGCAAGAGATGAGCAGTTACTAATCAAACGCTAACTGTTTGGTTGAATGGACTGACAGTCCTGAACTAACATCACACAGAGACAGAGTCAACATCAGAATTAGTGTTGACATGAAAAAATGCTTGTTAGTGGTGTTCTGTTACGAAATGATTTGGTTGTTTACATATCTGTCGATTCCTTGGTAGCCAAGCATGACTATGGTCTCTGGATGAATCTGGAAAATAATGCACCAATCTATTATGTTGATCTATGTCTTGGTTTACTGGTTTATTGTCAAAGATGGATACAAAGTAGACGTAGCGAATTCTCTATCAATAATACAAAATAAATAACATAATTACAAAATAAATAACATAATTACAAAATACCAAATGAATATTTAAATGTTAGAACAGGGTGAAGTACTTCCAGTTACAATATATGATGTTTTTTGTATCTTGACCTCCAAATGGATCAGCAGATATGAAATATCCTTGTTGCTAATTAGGAAATGGGGAAGCGTTTTTGTAGTTTGTGTGCAATAGTTAGGACTTCCCTTCACCAGTGCAAGAGTCAACAGGTTCAAAGAAAAATGAGTCTGGAAAAGCTGAACAGCCTGCTTTCTTTTTCTGGACGGCACCAGAAGAAGCCTGTTGAAACTCTCAGTTCTGTTTTTGCACTGTTGTATTTTTTATTTTTTTAATGAATGAGTAAAGTTCTGGTTGGTCATTCAGCCTGTCATAACAAAGGTTTACCAGTGTTACTCCAACAATGCCGTTTGGACACAATATGTCCTGCAGAGGCGGCCATCGAAGCCTTTACTGTCCAGTTGCAAGCATCCAGAACTCACTTTTACTTTTTACACAGCAACTTCCTGTTTGCTTTGACCCCAAAATCTCAAAGGTTCACAGAACATTTGTGGCTTTGAACAACTTTTATTTAGTTGGATAGAAGAGAAAAATGTATCTTTAATGTAAAGTTTGCTGCTCCACTATTTAGGCTGAACTTTAATAAACACAATACCCAGAATAGGTAAAGATATTTAAAAAGCAGGTTGCTGTGTATCTCTAATGTGCAATTGCAGTCTAATGGGTTGTTATTGTCAATTTGGTCTTCCAATAATTCACTGGGATTTATAGCTAAAGCTAGTATTACAGGAGAGTTCCTCTATGGAGGCATGATTAACTGTGGCACGTTTGAGAAAGTTTGTGACATTATTTTGAGCTGTGCAGTTCTGCACAATTTTGTGCTGGACAGTCTGGTTTAACTTGAAGCTCCACAATTTGCTGAGCCAATAAGTGGCATTAAAATAACAAGTTATTACACAACATTTGCAGCAGTTTAATTATATAAGAAATGTTTCTCAATTTATGTGTTTCAGTTTGTCTCTAGTCTTTTGTTTTGATTCTGTTACTTTAAAACTTGAGATATTTTTTTAGTTGCAAATTCTGTGGATGTGGCCACTGAAACTGTTACTAAATGATTAAATATGAGGATTGTTTCCTCCTAATAACACCTGACTGCTAGCATGCTTTAATTAGCTGGTGTGTGGATACCATGCACCAACAACTGACGCTTCAACAGTCAGTTATGTAAGATGAGTTGGTGTGGTTAGAAATTAGGACACCTGAAAGGAGCACCAACTTAATAATGTTATGAAAGATTTTGCTGTTATTGTGTTGGATGATCGTTCACATCACCTGGGATTTAAACTGCAGTGGAGGGAAAAGAAAAGCTTTTCACAGAGAAATCTGCTCTGCTCATTTAGATATCTTAGTGATAACTTAAAGAAAATCTGTTTACCTCAGGCAATAGTGACATTTTATGGTGATATTATAATACGTACTGTGTCTCTGAACTTCTTACATTTATTTTCAGTAACACGTTAAAATAGGAAATGCCTCCTTTTCATATTGAGACATAACTTGTTATAACATCTATGCCATTGTTGATGATTTTGCAACAAGATGGTTGGTGCAGGTTGCTCACATGTCAGTTCACTGAATGACTGGGCCACATGGATTAAAAATAAATTTGATTTCTGATTTTAATAGCTTTTTTTTTTTTTTTTTAGTTTTCTTGAAAAGAAATTCCACATATTTTCAAACACAGGGTTTTGTTTAAAAAATTGTGACTTAACCTAAATTCAAAGCTGAATTCAAAGTCTAAATAAGTAGAAGCTGTAGAAAATGTTTGTCAAACGAGAAGGCAGGTCTGGCATCACTTTGGTGTCTGTGAAATATGGAGACCCAAGAAGTGCACTGGTGAAAAAAAAAATCCTGATTTTCCAAAAATTAAATCTTCAAAAACAGAACATTTGATCAGTCGATCCATTTCCCAGTCCAAAGTCGCTACTTTGCTCTGCTTGTGTAGATGGTTGTGAGTTCAGGTGAGTTGAGACCAAAGCAGAATCTCCTGTGTGGCAGCAGCAGCTTTTCTATGGGTGGAGCAGGTGGAGGAAGGAGGAGGCGAGTGTGGTAATGAAGATAACAGGAAGGTCGCAGTGGGTCTGACTGCTGCTGACAGAAATGGGCTGAAAGGGAACGTAATTGTGGTTGAGAAATATGGGTGGGACAAATGGTAGAGGGAACAACTTAGACTTCATTACTGATGGTAGATGCAACCAATGTCTCTAAACTGTCTGGAGAAATGTAATGTAATAGAATAAGAATGAAAAAATCCTGCCTGAATCAGACAGGCTGTGTTTGGTACCAGATGGCTGTTATGGTAATGTGCAGGCTTTTGCTTTTTGAAATGGTATCATCCCACCTTCTGTTCTCTGATTCATTTAAAATTCTCATCAGTTTGTTGGTTTTAATCAAATCCTGGACTTACTCCTATTTTATTATATGCTGTTACAACTTTCTTTAAATTAGCAGTAACTGTGACAGCGCATTGGGGCCGTTGTAGATAGAAGAAACAAAGGTGTAAATGTCCACCAAAAAACAAAGAAACTTTGAGATTAAGCTCAAATTTTCCAGAGGGAAAAAAGGCGAATTTCTGAATTTCCAAAGTCAGAAATTTCCTGGAAAAACTTAGAAAGTTTCTAGAAAAAAACTCAGAAATTTCTGAGTTTAAAAAGTCGAACATTTGCTTGAAAAAAAACTAAGACATTTTGAGACACTGCT